CTCTCCAAGACAGTTGCTAATACTAATATACTTGTAGTCTCCCTTTTTCTTATTTTATTTCTTCCTTTATTCTCACTAGGGCTTTTCTCTTTCATTTTTCAATTTCTCTCCTCCTTCGATCTCTCAGCTTACCCTAAGATGGACAAATCGTCGCTCGATGTGGAGCAGCCACACTCCATGGGAACCACCATCATCGGCGTCACTTACAACGGCGGCGTTGTTCTCGGCGCCGACTCCCGTACCAGCACTGGTAATTCCTTTTTTATTTTCTTCATAAGGGTTTGATTTATATTTTCAATTTTTTGTAATGTTACTGTTGAAAAATTGATTAACTGAAAATAAAGTATCTGCTTGATTGATTTGTTTTTTCAATGTCATAATGTTGTTGTGAATACTGAAAATAGAGAGCCTTTGATTTACTTTTCAATAGTATAGTCTTGATGAGAAGAGTTTACTTAACAATAAAGTCTTTTTTTTTGTATATGTTTTTATTATGAAAATTTGTGAAAGTAAAGCCTTTTTATATAGTTTACCTGATAAAGATGAATTTTATTTGTGAAAATTGTATTTTCTTCTGAATTTGTTAAAAAAATGTAGTAGTAATTTTAGTTTGTGTAATCTAAGAACTGCATTTTTTTGGTGTTTTTTGCTTTTTGGAAATTTAGGAATGTATGTGGCAAATAGGGCTTCAGATAAGATCACTCAGCTCACTGACAATGTGTATGTTTGTCGCTCTGGATCGGTATGCTACTTTTGCTCTCTTTCTCTTTCTTTGGTAGCATATATATCGTATTTCTTCAAAAAGAGGAACTGTGGAACTGCTATCTGTGCTGTGGCATTATTTGTCCTTTTTTCCCTTTGTTTCCATAAGGGATTTTTGTTATTTGGTTCAAGTATTGGCATGTTGAGTACTGTAGATAAAAGCAATTCAAGAAGTTGAATTAAGGATTTATGGGTTTAGTATCGCCCTTCTTTTTCTTCGTTTTGATGTTTTTGGAAGGGGTTATAATGTGGCTGAAATTTGTCAGTAATGAATCCAAAACTCTATTTAATTAAATAGCATTTAAGTAGCACGTTATCTGCTCTGTAATGATTGACAAATAGAACATAGAATAACCAAAATTCTAACTATGCGAGGAGATGTTAGAACTGAAATAGAAATGACATGGCTAAAAAATTCTTCGAGTTAAAGCTTGGTAATTTTCAATATTGAACTTTTTTTGTATTAGCAATGGCGAAACACTTTTCTTGCAATACCAATCCTTAAAAATCTTTCGGGGGCTTGCTCTTCCTCAAAAGAATTAAATCTCTTATGGGCTTGGTTAAATTTACAGGTCAATTGTGTATTGTCATTGTGTGTCCACTTAATGTGGTATGTTGCAAGGATAGAGTGTTTTGAATTTTAACAAATAGCAAATGGAAATATTCATTTCTCTCTCTCTCTGTATCTTATCTATTTATGAGTCACTGAACATCTCTTTATTTTTTCTATTAAGGTATAGTAATTTACCTAATGAAGAGAGGGGAAAATGTCCAGTATACAAGCAGTTACCTGTGTTTGTATTATGTATCAATTGTAAAAGAAAATATTTATTTTATAAATTCAAAAGTTCTATATGTTTATGTATATTTCTGTGTATTCCTATATTTTCTGTACTATGTATTGAAAATAATTAGTGACATTCCTATTTATAAAAGTAAAAATCAAATTAAAAAATGTCCAGTATACAAGCAGTTACCAAAAAGTAGAGAACCTGGAAATAATTGAACATCCTTTTGCTTGCTTATCTTTCTATGATTTTTGGAAATCATGCTCATATTATGAAAGCTAAGTCAGTATTAAAAGCTAGAGTATTTCAGACGTTCAATCAACCAATCAATTGGGCTTTATCCAAAACTACTTGGAGTTTGCTATATGAATATTGATCCTCTGTTTCCATTCTGGTTTGTCTTACTAGAGAAAAATATACTGAACTTTACAAGACAACGGGACCTACTAACATGGTTTCATTAGCAGCTAGTAGCAGAGGTTATAACCTTTTCCGTTGTCTTGCATATTATATGTGAATCCACTCTCTCCTAGGCATGATAAGAAAACTCGGTTTAATAAAAAATTCGATGCCATTTGTCACTTTGTGATGAATTTTTATACCACTGGTACTACTTGGTACATAATTATAGGACAATTATAACATAGTGATGCCAAACATGTCGAAAATAAGATGGATAAGGAGGACTCACAAACCCTCTATTGGATGATTCACAATTTGAAAATGTTATGTATGATGTTGCTGTAGTTTTCTTGTATACATACTTGATATCTGTGGATTCTGCATCCATGGATGAAAATAATTGGTTGAGGCATGTTAATTGATTGTTCAATAGGGCTGAAAATGGGATTAGAAAATGTATTGGGATTTGTTTATTTAGTTACTGAGTTTGTCCCAAGTGCTTTAGGTTTGCTTTAAAAATGTTAAGCTTTAAGTTGCCTGGGTAAACCATGTTTCTTTTGTGGTCAGACACGTGTTGAAGTACATTTTTCCTTTTTGCTCCTCCCCCTTCTCACATTGAGTGGGGCTACAGTGGTAAAAGAGCACTTGTCTTAGATGTAGTTCATTATCCAATTTAATTAAAAAAACATATGATGCAACCTCTGTATAAATGTATAGATTATTAGACACCTGGGCACACATTTCAATTTGCATGTAAAATTGTTTCTCTTTTTCATTTAGCACAATTTTTTACTTTCTAATATTGTAAGGAATTTGAGTTCCCAATGGGATTTGATTACATAACTAAACATGATGTGAGGTTCAAAGCCTATTCTAAGGTAAAAACATTCCACTACCTTTGTGTTGTATCTGCATAAACTGAATTTCCTGGAAGTTAAAGCAGGTTAACATAAATTGAGAAAATGAAATATAGCATAATGGGATCATATAGTGGTAGATTAGATAAAAGAAAAAGATATTAATCCTTCTCTTTTATGACCAAGTAATCCCCAAGGACCAACTGCCGCACGGTTTTAAACTTGGTGGATAATGGGCCCAATATATATTTATCTTTTAGGAGAAGTTCATTGGAAATGTTTTCTAGGAGAAACTTTCTGTTAGTTTTAGAGGTTTTGTTCTGTCCCTTAGAAACAACGGATCTGGGCAATGCTCGAATTCAGGTTATTGATGATTGTATTCTTACACCTCCACATATGTACTCTGTAGAGTCTGTCTTGTTCCAAAACATTAGCTTCCATTGCTCTGTGGTTAAGATATGGTTGATATAAATCCTACAGCATATCCAATAGTTTTATTAGCTTATTAGACAAACAATAGAATGTGTTCTACTTTAAGTTGCTCAGACTCTCCAAAAATGTTGTGTCGTATTCTCCAAAAATGCACTACTTCTGAAGGATCCGACACATACCTGATGACATTTTTGAAGAGTCCAAGCAACACATGACTTTTACCTACTTCCTGGTTTAGAAAATGACCTCAGAGCATTATATGCTTTAAGAAGTTAAAAATGCCTTGATGCTTTGAAGTGAACTTCTGGTTTAGAAAATGACCTTGGAGCGTTATATGCTCTAAGAAGTTAAACATGCCTTGATGCTTTGAAGTGAACTACCAACAGCTGAGTTGTTTCCATCTCATAATCTGATACTTGATCCTCTATAGCATTCTGAGAGTCCTATCTCACATATTAATTTAATGATTGTTTTGTAGGCTGCAGATTCACAAGTTGTTTCAGACTACGTGCGCTACTTTCTACACCAACACACGTAACCCATCAACCCATCTTGTATTTTTATTCAAATGCTTACTTCCTAGATGCAACTATTATGATTTATCTCAGTAACTTGCAAAAGAATCTCCCCTGATGAGAGGCTGTTAACTTCAGCTTCTTCATCAATTTCTTCTTTGTTGGGAATATGGAATTGACTAGTTAACCTATACATACTTTTGAAGTTTGAATGAGCGTGCCAAAATTTACCATCTCTTTTACTTGTTAATTTTTCTGGAAATTAGATTATGATGAAGTGGCTTGTGCTTGCCACTTATTTAGTCAAATTATTTTCAGGATGCACTTTCTAAGGTTGAAAGTTTTTGTGGATGCAGGATACAGCTTGGCCAGCCAGCGACTGTCAAGGTTGCGGCAAGTCTTGTTAGGCAAATATCCTATAACAATAAGGTTTGCTTCTATAAGTAGCATACTATTTCTTATTGTGTTATGTAAAATAATTTTTATCATTTTAAATTCTAAGTTTCCTATTCTCTTTTTTTGCGTGTCGTTTAAAGATTTATACAGATAGCTTGACAATTGTGGAATCTCTGTTTTTTTTTTCTTCGCTACAATGCAAGTAGTTGTAGCTCAATTGTGTAATAGAGAGTTGCTCTCACAATGCAACTGTCTAAAAGAGAATTCACCATTTAAGAATGGTCATCAAAGCTGGAATCAACATTTTCTTGCTTAGGAAGTTATGAAATCTCAGTGTATCTGTTAGGTGCAACTTTTGTGGTGTAATTTGAGGATTGGATCACCCAATTATCTAATCATTCAAATATTAATGAGTGGTCATGTCCTTTGGAATCTGTGAGTGTACTAACTTCAGCAGTGTCTTACTCAAAATAAAATTGGTAAACCTGTAACCTGTTCAGTGAAAAAAAGTAAAAAGGAATTTTTCAATGCTGAGCTGATGCCATTTAATTTGTTGCTTTTGCACACCATCGGTATTAGGTTTTCATTTTGTTTTTAGCTATGCAGCTTCCCTACATGATGTGGATGAATTAACTCTTTTTTTTTTGAAGATCAAGTAAGGAATAATTTTATTAATTACAAGATGTGTATCAAAAGACAACCTAGAAAAGATTCTAGTTGTTAGAACTGACGTTATCTCTATTTTGTTCCTGGGTTATTTTCCTTAAGCATTGCAAATTCCTTCATCTTTTTGATGCCATTAATTATATTTTTACTCCATCAAAAACAAAAAAAGACAACCTAGAAAGGCACCTATTCCTCTGTACAAATAGGAAGAGCCTAATGGGTGGACCCAAAAGAATAATCAATTACATGAGGCTATATGTGATCATGCTCTATTACTTCAAAAGCTCTCCTATTTCTCTCACCTTCCTTTTCTGTTGATGGTATGTTTTCCTCTCCATACTACCACATTTAGAGGAACAATGCTCCATGCTCTGCATTGTTCTCTTCATCTTCTAAAGCCCAGCTGAATCAAGCAACTGTCACCAATCCCTGGCCATGTTTCTGATACAAATTATTTGCATTTCACTGTTAACAAGTATTTAGGGTCGTTTGGTTGCTGACTAGAGTTATGTAGGTATTAGTAATACATGAATTAGTTATGAGGAAATTTATGTATTATTTTATGCAGGGATTAGTTATGCAAAGTTTAGTTATTCCATCTTCTATTCTGCATAAAATTTTACCTAGATTCCCTCATAACTTATTCATGTATTAGTTATGCATGTTTCTCAATTGCAAACCAAATACCATATTAATTTTATTTTTAGTCCTAACTAACTACCAAACATGGTATTATTTATGCAGGATCTAATACTTGTATAATATTTCTCCTAACCAACTACCAAACGATCCCTTAGTGTACACAATCAAATGGCGATACAAGTCAGATTTTATCCTTCTGTTCCTTCCTAAGTTTTCTTAGTTCCATTTCAAGAGATTTTTTCCTCCTGCTAAAGAACACTATTGACAATGGGGTCCGGGAGGGAATGCATATCATTTGAGAAGCCTAAATGGATAAACATGTGGCCTTGCCAAATTTTTTTTTGTGAAGATCTTTGTATGATTCTTTTATTCTTCCCCTAGCTGATTGTGTAGTTTTAAGCATATTGTATGACGAATCTTTTTCTCCATTTCGGTGGGGATTAAGTTGGAAGAATTTGTACATATATTTATCCGCCATGTATTTAAAGTTGTAGCCTAAACAATGTTTAAAAATAGTCTTTTAAAGTTTCATTTTCTACTTATTGCTGAACTTTTCTAGACACAGGAGGTAGTTGATAGGAAATAAATCTGGAAGAGAATGTGTATAACTGGCTTTTGTTCCATGGCTTCTGCTCAGCTTCCTCTGTATTATTTTACCTGTATGGTCGTATGTGAGCTAGGTTAAACGTCACCTTTGAGCTCTTTCTAACTGATTTATGATCTCAAAAACTCAGGCTATGCTTCAAACAGGAATGATTGTTGGTGGATGGGACAAATACGAAGGGGGTAAAATATATGGGGTTCCTCTTGGGGGTACACTCTTGGAGCAGCCTTTTGCTATTGGAGGTTTGTTGTCAATCTGTATTGTTGCTTTCCTCATGCATCTACTTCTCAGGAGCACTTTCCTGGTTAACTGTTTAGATATTTTTGGTTCTTAAAAACAACTGGAATAGGTTACTTGGTTGTGGTGCCTGTTTCTTGAATGGCATCAACCCAATGGGGTCTGCTGTGCTATAGAATTTAATGGGATAATATCATGGTTATTTTGATTTTGTCCAATTGGTGCATTTGATTAGATTTAATTAAATACAAGAGCCATCATCATGTTAGGTCTGATGGCTACAGTGATTTTAATTTCAACATAAAGTAAGAGGGTGGTGATGGAGTTGGCTACTGACCAAACCCTAAGGTATGGTGATAGTGCACTGGATAGGATTAAAGAAGATGATGCCTTGAAAGGCACCTAAGGGTGTTCCCCGTGGGTGAAAACCTTGGAAACTAGGGTTTAAATCCAGCAGAGACTAGAACATCAAGTGATTTCTTTCCATCTACCTAAGTCTTGGTGGTAAAGTTACCCGGTATATTTGCTGGTGGGAGGTAGCTGGTACCCGATGGAATAGTTGAGATGTGCGCAAGCTGGCTTGGACACCACCCTTTAGAAAAAATGGAGAAGATGATGATGCCTTGAAAGGAAAGACAGGACCTGAGGATTTAAAGCTTATTGCATATATGCAGTGTTAATATTGAAGTATATCATAGCATTGCTTAACATACTCATTTGTAGTTTCGCTTTACTGACCTGTATTGTGCTTTTGCTGTTGATAGAAATTAAATTCTCAGCCTGCCATACAATGTCCTCCAACTGCTGAGTTCTGTTCTAATGTTTTAATTTCATATTGCAGGGTCTGGGTCTAGTTATTTGTATGGTTTCTTTGATCAGGCATGGAGGGAAGGAATGTCTCATGAAGAAGCAGAGGTTTGCTGTATGCGGTCATTAAAATTTCTCATTTGTATAATATGGGTGACCATTATGAACCGTTTTCTTAAGAAAACTCTTAATTGTTTCTGTCAAGTAGGCGTCATAGTCTAATTAGATAGGGAATCAATCATATTAAGAATGAAGTCTTTTCTTTCATATTCAATTTCTTCATTCCAGATTTCTCCATTCCTTCCTATATGCCTTTTTAGTACCCGTCTAAGTAATGTGTGCAGTACAAAGTTCATGATGCAGAACTCAATTGGTTCATCCTATTCAAGAAGTTTGACCCCCCCCTCTAATTTTTTGTTTTCTTTATTTAGTTTGCATTTTCTTTGGAGACTTGGATTCAAATTTAGTGTGTCTCACAGCCGAGAAAACTTGGGGGATTTTGTTAGTTCTAGTATGCAGCAATTTTTTTTTTAACTTTCTGTTTCCAAAACAAAGCCTTCTATTTCTGATGGGAAGGAAAATGCATTTTAGAGGTTATGTATGATTAGCAGGATGTATATTTTGATCCGTGTTGCTTTCTAAGCTTCGTCGTTTCGTGAACTCGAAAGCTATTCAGCAAGACAATATAATTCTTTTGGCTTGTGGTAGATAGGTGCAGAGAATCATGATTTGTATTTGTCATGCTTATCTAGTCTGTAGATATTTCCAATGATTGAAATTTCCTTTCATATACTTTTGCAGAAACTGGTTGTGACTGCGGTGTCTCTTGCCATTGCACGAGATGGTGCGAGTGGCGGTGTAGTACGCACTGTAACTGTGAGTGATTTTCTGCTTTATGCTCATTCACAAGCAATTATATGTGATTAGGAAAAGTTAATTTGCTAGACCAAAGCCATATGCCGCTATTAAATTGGAAACCACTGAATTCTCTGCACCTTCACATAGTGTTTTGCTCAACTTAATTTAGAGCCTTGACCTTTTTCTCCTTTGAAAAAGTTATGTCATGTATCAACTGTATATCTTGCATCAATTACAATAGAACCCTTCCTGCTTCATTTGACCAGTGGTTTTAACACCTTTCTCTTTTTATAAGTATATAGTGTTTTGCCACTTACCCTGAAATTTTTACTTGGATAAAACAATAGCTTAGCTTTGTGGCAGAAAGCCTTGTATACTCAAAGATAGAGAACCTATAAAAACTATGGTTCTATATGGAAGTCATCTATTGTAACAGGAGCATTATGGGTGCACCAAAAGACGACAAATTGATGACATGCCTTAATAAGTTGACTTACATTATACATACTACCTGTCCTATTTTTAAAAACACACCACTTGTGCTTGTTGCCTTTAATTAATGCCTTTTCTAGGCTTGTGCCTTATTTTGAGATATAAGAAGCTAGTGTTTGCTTTGTTAGAGCATAATATGATGGCCACTGTATGCTTCTGAAAACATATCCCCGTTATGTCCTGTTATGTGTGTGCCCTGTGCCCTGCTGCAGAATTCATTTGTATCCAAAAATATCACCCTCTCGAGTACTGTTTTCCTGAGCACTTAGGGCCCTAGGGCAATAGCTCTTCTTTGTATCTTGCATCACAGAAGTCTTGTGTTTGTTTGATGTGTAAAACCAGACAATGGAGAAAATGGAACTGTTGTGTGTATATTTCTGTGTTTACAGATGATTAAAAGTGTCTTTTGCCTATTTTTGACAACCAGATCAACAAAGATGGAGTAAAAAGGAAGTTCTATCCGGGTGATACTCTTCCACTTTGGCATGAAGAGATTGAGTCTGTGAACTCACTGCTGGATATTGTGCCCGCAGCAAGTCCAGACCCAATGGTCAGTTGAGAATAGAAAATTGACTGTCGAACATGTATTTCTATATGGTAGTACTGGCCTCCTGTTGTGGATTATTGGTCTTTTCCCCTCTTTGACCTATATGCCCTTTTAATGCTTGACGATTCCAATTCTGTAATGTCATATTTACTTCAAAAAATTATTTATCGACTATGTTTCAGAACAGGAAAAGGAAGGGTAATTAAAGTGAACTTGTCCTTGTGTTTTTTTGTTTGGGTTAAAAGAACTTTTGGAGAATACCTTCACTTGGCTAGTGTGCTGTTTAGGTATAGATAAATGGTGACATCACGTCTCTACCATTCTCCACTTGGATACTAGGCTTTTGTTTGCCACATGGTTTTGAACTTATGATATGCCCGCGCAAGAAGTGGGGCTCAACTCAGCTGGTAAATCATTGTGAAGAGCTGCTACAACCATATCCTTCCATGCCTACTACTGAAAATCACAAAATAGAAAAGTGCATGGTATTGTTACACATGTTGATTTTTGAGCAAAAATGTTTTGGTGAAAGATGATGATGGTATATGTCGAGCAACTGTTGCCACTGCTTTAAACCTTTTTTTTTGAGGGGCTGTGTTATGCAATTTGGCCCTCTAATCTCAGATGGGGTCTTCTCTTTTGCTGCCAAACAAGAATACAATTATTGACTTGTACACATTAACTAACTTTACAAATCCCACTTTTGGACTACTCTGGGTGTCTTTCTTTGGTTGGTCAAAATGTCGTAGACAAGGGGTGACAATTGGGCGGGTTGAGTTAAATTTGGACAGGTCAAAATGGGTCCAGATCCAACCCAACCCAACCCAAATTTGTTTGGGCCAAAATGGGTTAGTAATGGGTCATAACCCAACCTGTTCAATTTTTCCTGAGTTTTAATAGCTTTATTTGTTATTTTATAAGCTTTTAGTATCTAATTAAAAAAAAATCTTTATTTTTGCCACCCCTAATTGAAAGTAGGAAAAAACAAGAGCAACTTTTACATATAACAAATATAAAAATTATATTTGTATGTTATAATTATAGTTTGCACAATTGTGCTTCATAGCAAATTTTATGTTTGCTATGGAACTATTGATTTGTATAATTTGCTAGATACATTCAATTTTATACAAATTGTTCAGTTTTGTATACATTCATTTATACATTGTAATTTGTATAATAAGTTCTATATTTGTATAAGTGGATATGACGAAAATATATGTATTTGTATTTGTATACACTTTTTTCTCGCTTTATACAAACACAAACGCATTTTTACATTTTACATCGAAATGTATAAAATGACTAATTGTATACCGAAAATGCCTAATTGTATATCGAATCAGATGTAAAAAAAATGGGATGTTTGCTGCGAATTACAAATAAAATAAACTATGACTATAACATTTAATTTGAATTAATAGTTTGATATTTCATACAATTTTTTCAACTGCATAAATGGGCTATAAAATTCAAAATAATTACAAGTTCATACCCAAACCCAAAGTAATTTCTAAAATACCCATTCTTTCATAATAAATATAGCCCATGCCCCCATTCACTAAGCCTAATAATTTTTGTTTAACTGATACTAAATCAATATCATATAATGTATTGGTATCATTAAGATTGATAGTTTTCGCTTAACTGATACTAAATCAGTGTGTGTATATATATATATATATATGCATTCTGAAGTTCGGCTATAGACAATATATTGTCTGTTTTATTTTGCTGTGACTCTTTTGCGATATCATCGTTGCTAGTTTCACTCCGCATCGATGTGTCTGATTTATCAATCTGGATAATGGTTTGAAGTAAATTTCTTTTTACTTCTTCTAAATAATCATTGATCATGCTTTAAAGCGTTAATATCTCTGGTTACTGGATCTGTAACAAAAGTATAACTTATTTCGTTACCACCAGGAGACCTATTAAGTGGGAAGAAATTGATTTCCCAACTACGTGGACTCTAAATTCGATCATATCCCCAAATCAGTTAACAAATGCGGTTACCAATTCTGATTATTCTCATATATCGCAAAATCCCGTGGTAGGATTTGTATTCAGTTTTCGGATAATAGCTATGCGCCTCATAGGCAGTCATTTTCTAATAATAGATTAATGCCTATGTGAGTCACAGTTATTGTAACATCTCTCAATTTGAAATAACTAGGAATAAGCTAATAATTGGAAATAGTTATTTTTGGAAAGAATGAAAATCTGGAAATTTGTTTAAGTTAGGAAAAAGTTGAGTTTTGGTCAACTTCAAACGGCCATAACTCCTAGCTCAAGATGATTTAGTTGTACTTCCAGACATGGTTGGAAAGCTCTTGGAATGATCTTTCCAACGCCGCTAAGTTTGCACCATTCCGAGTTCGTATGAGTAAGTTATGCCCTTTGGAAGTTAGGCTGTTGGAATAAGGAAATGTCTAATCCGGATTTTAGAAGGGCGATTTAGTCTTTTCCTTACCTAATTTCTCTAATTCGTTTTAGGAGATTAATTGGGGAAAAAACAGACTTTATTCAATTTAGAAAAAAATTAGAATTTACGCTAGGGCTTGGAGAGGAGAAGAAATCAAGAAATCGCCAAGAACGTTCAAGCCTTGCGAGTGGAATTCGTCGGGGGTGATCCCTACAAGGTATGTGAGATCACATAGTGTTGGGTTAGTTCACCCACACGCCAATCTTGTTTCAATTTAGCGAATTTAAATGTTTGAATGCAAAGAAAGTGAGTTCTTGAAGAACATTGTTGAAAATTTGCTGAGTTCTTGATGGTTGTGTTGTTGAAGTCTCTTGTTGATTTGATTCATGTTTCCGGGTGGATTTTTGAGTTAAATCTGTTGTATGTTGAGGGTACTGTTGATCCTAAATGTTTGGGGAAAGAACCATGAAAGTTAGGAGGGTTTAGAGATGAAAAACAGAGAAGAAAAATCGTCAAAAACTTAGGGAAGGGGGTGGGGAGTTGCGCCAGCCAGCGCCCCCCAAAAGGGGCTCTGAAGTTCACCCCTTGGGGCGACGCGCCAGCCAGCACGCCCCAGCAGCTTCTCTGACGTTTGAGGGCTGGCGCCCCGCGCCTCTCAGAGCGCCAGGGACGCCAGTTCTCCCCATTCTTCCCCCACCTTTTCGTACTAGTTCCTAAGTGATGTACCTATCTTTCCTAGTTGATTCTAACACTCTAAGGTACATCTAAACATCATGAAATCATCCATAAACATGAGATCATGAACCTTGAATCCATAATCCAATTCGAGGAAAGTTAAGATCAAAGTTATAGAAGCTAAGAGTCAAAGTCTAGAAGTTAAGAAGCAAGTCAAAGCAAAGTTTCTTAAAGTTTTCAAGAATCTTTATTAAATGTTTTACCTTCATTTTAAGGCTCAGGTTTTAAGTTAAGCAAAGAGTAAACTTGAAGTTCTTTTCTTCAAAAGTATATGGGGACTAAGTATTCCCAAAGAGATTTAAAATGTTTTCACATTTAAATAAGAACGGAAACTGAGATTTCCAAAGAGCCTTCAGGCTAGTTTTCAGAAAAAGTAATCGCTTTCTAAATGAAGCAAGAGGGGAAACTTTGATTTCCAAGATAGCATTTGAGCTAAGTTTTGAGCATTAATCTCGAATCACAGAAAAAGTATGTTTTTAAAACATAAGAGCCAGTATATTTTGGGAGTAGTATTGAGCACCGAATTGGGGACGAGCATGAGTTTAGATAACTCACGTCACCATAGAACCATGTAGCCACCATAGGTAGAAAAGGGTCATACTTTTTAGATGAATCCTTTGCGCAATAGACTAGTTGATCCATTAGGCAGTTTAGGTTTTATACCTTTGGCCGGGTATATGATGCGCTGACAACATGGGGTAGATCAATGCATCATCACTATAGCTCTTATGTGATAGTTGTCGGTTAGAGAAACTCCCACATAAGTTATTGTATTTTTATATATATCAGTTTATTGTATTTTTACATACATTTCAGAGTTATGTTGTATCCTTGTGCATAGATAGAGTTTACATCATGTTTTTAAACAGCTTTTCTTTATATTGCACTTGTTTAAACTGCTTTATATTGAAATGAGTTCAGTTAAGTATTCATGAGTTAAGAAGAGCCAAGGTAAGTGTTTCTATCAGATTCTCTTTCCAGCCAATGTTGTTTTAGCATTCCAACTCGCATACTCGTACATTCAATGTACTGATGCCAGTTGGCCTGCATCTTATTATGATGCAGACACAGGTAACTAGGATCAGCATTCCAACGCACCATTGATCTAGTGAGCAGTTCAGAGTCAGTTGGTGAGCCTCCTTGCACTCCGGAGGATCTATTTTTCATTTCTTTCTAGTTAGTTCATTAGGATGTTGTGGGGTTTGTCCCAACATCCATCTCAGTTGTTTTAGAGGTTTCATAGACAGTCATATGTTAGTCATTTGAGTCTTTTCATTATCATTCCTTATTGTTAAGACTTGGGTTGCCACTTTTGGCCAAGTTGAATGTTTAACCTTTAAGCATTCTCAGTTATTTTAGTATTCAGTTAAGTTAGGTGCTATTGATCATTGTTCAGATGCATATTGTCTTCCGCTGAGTTAAGTAAGCCAGGCCAAGGGTTCGCTTGGGGCCAACGATGGTCTTCGAGTGCCAATCCCGTCCAGGGTGTAGGCTCGGGGTGTGACAGTTATAATAGACATTCTTTATCAAGTCGTAGACTTTTGCATGCTATTCATCATATTTCCCCTATTGAACCTATCTATGGTCCAGCATGATATCGTGCCGCTTTTTTACATACCATTGCAACAGATAGCAACTCAATGGTAGAAAAGGTTAAGATTGGCCCTAGAACTAATATAGTTCAGGTAAATGATGATGTTTCTGATAAGGATATTCATTTTGTCTCCGAAATGGAGTTTGACCTAAATGATTCTTAATGATTCCATAACAACTTGATTTTAGCCCAAGTTCTCTGGCAAGGAAACATATTCAAAAAGAATTTTTTGATGAAAAATGGAACCAATTTAAAACTTGGTTCTTTGATTATTATAATAAATAGGATATGGATAATATCTCTCAAGAGTTTTATGAAACTTGTACTTTGCATAATCAAATTATGTATTTTGTTCCATGGTTTATAACCACTTATTTGCCTTTATATATTAATGTTATTGAAAGAACTTATAAAGATGGTAGTGGTAATCTTACAAAAGACATCTACCCCCCTCAGTCATCTTTTGTTTTGCC